CTATCTCTCACCGATAACGAGCGCCACGGCTGGCGCTGCGGGGTAAAGTAGAACTATCGCTCTCACCGGCGGAGTGAGGCATACGGCAGGCCGCTCCCAAGGGGAGTCCTAATCGAGTGGCCGTGACAGTGGGATGGCTCGTGCACCATCACGTTCCCCTCGTGGCCTCGCTCGCGCCGCTGCCAGCTGTGCTCAGCTGGCTCAAGTGGCGGCCCAGCAAACGGATGTATGCGAGAATGTCAGGCTGGGTAATAATTGTTCTCTGATATCGGGGAGGAGATCGAACAAACCTAAATTTCTTGTTTCTTGTTGATCAGAGAAATCGAAGATGACGATTCGAAGGCTGCTCCTCGTGCGCCCAAAGCACTGGTCAAAGCGAAGCGCTCGTGCCCAGACCGTGCTAGGCGAAGTTCAATTTCTTTGTTTTGCTGTGTTCGTAAACACCGCGCTGTGTGGACAACAAGCTCGATAAAGCGCCCCCTATAGTTCAATCTTCTGCCCAATAGGGCGATGCGGTTCGGCGGTTGTAACAGACTTTCGCAATAAATCTTACCAAGAAGAAATCAAATGTTGATTAACGTGTTAATATTCTATCAATGAAATATTTTTCTGCAGGAATGCACGCTCAGTAGACTCAATCTTCTAAGACACCAGTGGAAGCGGGCGTCAAGTAAACTACTTCGCGATTTACGGTACTTACCTCACCATTTTAAGGCTGCGGTCCCACGGCAGCCATCTTGAACAAGGCGTTAGTTCAACCAAGAGATGGCGACACGCACCCGTGGGGTGGCCGAAACATTGGTTCACAGTGGGATGGCTCGAGCAGCATCACGTTCCCCTCGTGGCCTTGCTCGCGCCGCTGCCAGCTGTGCTCGGCTAGCTCAAGTAGCGTGGTCAGGCTGGGTATAAATTGTTCTCTGATATAGGGAGGTGCGGTCGGCGGTTGTAACGGGCTTTCGCAATAAATCTTACCAAGAAGGAATCAAATGTTGATTGACGTATCAATATTCTATCAAATAAAATTTCCTCTGCAGGAATGCACGCTCAGTAGACTCAATCTTCCAAGACAGCAGTGGAAGCGGACGTCAAGTAGACTGCTTCGCGATTTACGGTACTTTTTTGTTGTTGTTTATTGCCCAGAGGAAAGGCCCGCAGGCCTAAGTGGGAAAGGAATTAAAGGAAAGCGGGGAGGCCGGCGGTATGGACGAAGTCTAGAAGGCTTCGAGCGCAGGCGTTGTTGGTCGTCTTTTACCACACCATTTTAGTGACGACTAAAAAAAGGTCACGAAACATTATATTTCACGGGGTCCGGAAGATGTTGTAAAGGTTGTTACATTATAGGGAGTTCCCAGAAAACAAATACCGTTGCAATATTTTCGGAAGTACAGACACACATAATGTTGTAAGTTCAGCTTAGGAGGAATATGATGAAAACCATCAGAAGAAATAGGAAGACGTTTATTTGCAATGAAAACGCTATGAATGAACGGCGTTTAGCGACGGCAAGTTATGAGCGTTCGGGAATTTATAAGTTGACGTGATTGCTAACTATGGACATGCGGACAATGAAGACCAGTTATGTCGGGAGATGGTGTTGCGGTGATGACCTGATATCGGACGACTCATGGCAGACGAACAAGCAAGTTTCTTCTCAGCGAATGGTAAGTGTCCAGTGTCAAGCACAACACGTGGCTACCGACTTTGTCGACGTTTTGAACACTTACCGCTTTCGAAAAAAGTCCTGGCACCTGGGCTAACTTAGTGAAAAGACTCGAAGTCTTCCTTGAGTCCAACGCCATCATGAACAGTAACTGAAAACGATCCACTATTCAGTCGGTAGGTGGCGAAACGTATCCGCATCTGCGAAGTCATGGGCGATGCGTACTCTAAGTGGCTGGAAGTTTACACGATGCCTGCCACGACGTCCAAACACGTCATTGACGTTCTACGGTCTCTTTTACCTACTTTTGCCCTACCGAAAATACTTTTCTCTGATAACGCGCCCAATCTTGCTTCAAATAAAATAAACAAGTTTTTTTCAAGAAAAAAAAAAAAACGGCTTCAGGCATCACATTAGTGCGCACCATACCATCCTGCAACTAACGGGCAAGCAGAACAGATGGTGTGCGAAACAAAAAAATCCCTTTTGAAGCTTACGGAAGAAGCAGTTCAGTGAAGAATCGCCAGGTTCTTGTTCCGGCAGCAAGCGTCGGTCTCATCTTACACGGAAAAAACCCACCGAAGCAATATTCGGCGGACGAAGAGCCACACCCCTCGATCTTATGATACTATGGCTTATGAACAAAGATCGAGAGATTCCCGGATCGGGAGTAATGGCAGTTTATTCGGTCGGACAACTCGTCTACGTGAGGAATTTCAGCAGAAGTCTGGCCTTCCATGTAAAACTTGAGTAGAAAAGGCTCTATGTTGGTTGACCAGGAGGTGTCATCTCTCTGAATATGTTGGATATGAATGCCCTTAAGTGTAAATATAACTAAATCACAAAACTTTCGTTCTGTATTGTGTAACTGCCCTTGTATTTGATAGTAGAAGCTATGGTGGTGATTTGGACCTTTCACACCAGGCTCCTTTTTCTTATTTTTCGCCTCATACTCCTTTGCGGTTTAAGTATGCTTCAAGAATCTTTTGGAACGGGGACACTTTACGTCAACGAGGCCATTTGTTCCAAGTAGTCAATCAGGGAATGCTGCTAGAAATCCGTCCCTCATATTAACGAGTAAGACGCACTTCTGCAGAGTGCAGTTTTCCTGTTTCACGTACAGTTGTAAAGCAGCATCCTCATTGATTCTACCATATATTGTTGCGGGTGAAGAAAGTCTTTCGGTACACGATACTGGAAACAAGTCTGGCACTGTACGTTGTGGTTTGACACCCACTAATGTCGTCGTCCTTATAGAGCCTCATCATTTAATCATTACCTCGTCACCTCATATTGCTCTTCATCAACAGTAAGTACAATAGGCTACCGCCATATTACAATCCAAGAATTGAAAAATTTAGTCGTTCAGTCCTTCAACAAGTTTATTATTTATATAATGTTATTACGTTACATTACCTCAAGACGATCGACGTCCATCGTCGATCATCAAATACTTATACCTGTATATAAATTAGACGCACAGGGGGGGGGGGGGGGGGGGGGGGTCGGTGGCCGAGTGCGTGGTCTAGCGCACACCAGCTCAGAGCACTTGGAGCGAAAGCTCGGGCTGCAGAACCCACCCCGCCCCTGCCCGTTTCGATCTGGAAGAGCATCGTACCGGCGTGCGGTCGTGTATCACTATTGCGTGGTGCACGTTAAGGACCCCAAGTTTGCGGTTGTACCACACTGGCTGAATTGCTCTCCTAAAGCTGAAACACCAGACGCCTACTAAGGCAGACTAACTTCCGGCTGAATAAACATACATACAACGATTTGCTATTGGACGCATAATAACAAAGAACACAGCGTGCCGCCTCTTTTCTTTGGATGCCTTGTTTTTTTTTTAAACCAGCGCAAGCTCGTGCGTTCTCTCTTTTGAGAGAACGCAATAAATGAGCTGCGCTTAGAGTATCGGCACTCTCTTCTCCGACAGTGTTGTGAACGCCGCCATTTTGGTGCTTGTGCAGAGCAGGCGCAACTGCCGATCGTCATGATTCAAAAGTGCAATATCCTCGGCATCAGATTCGGTGTTAGGAAGCTCATGTAATGTTGCTTTGCTTTCTCGCAAACTGTTTAAAGTGGAGGACGGAAAAGCGCGTTTCTTGTGATTTCAGATAAAGCTTCAAATAACTGGCAACCATGATTTTAAGCCACACTAAGGCCAAGTGTCGCTACTCTGAAACGTAGCTTATTAATGACACTATTCATGCTCTTGTTCAAGAGGCTTGTAATACCTAGGGTGCCTCAATGTCCTTCTGTTTAGGGTGATGCCACCCATTGTAGTACCCGATGCCGACAGCACGCGCTCACGGGGAAAATACAAAGAAATCGACGAAAACAAAATGTCGCCATAGCACAATCAGCGCCACGAGCGCGTGCAGGGACACGCTCTTTCACGCGCTTCTGAACAAAAAATAAAGATAAAAGTGTGGGACAAAATGGCCAGATGTCGTGCTCCAACCTAAGCAAAGAGCACATGAAGGCACCCTAGTAATACCTGAAGGGGCCATGACGTAAGCCCCGTGGGTTCCACAAGCCTTTTGACACCTGCCTCTTCTTCATTGTTCACGCTTGTGCTAGTAAATTAGCTACGGTTCAGAGTAACGACACTTGGCCATATTGTGGCTTCAAATCATGGTTGCCATTTATATGAAGCTTTATCTGAAATCACAAGAAACGCTTTTCCGTCCCTCACAAATGTTTAAACAACCCGCGATAGAGCATTGCAATATTGCATCAGCTTCCTAGCACCGCATCTGGGCCTCCTGCGTTGCCCAGGGGGTGCTGCGAAAAGGGACTTCTTAGGCCTTGTTTTGGGTAGTACAAACTTTAGCGTCTCAAACTGTCATGCATGCAGAAGCGCGCCTGCTCTGGTGCGGTGCGCGAGATCACGATAAAAGTACAAAGGAACAACAAAATTTGAACGCCGTCAAAGCTAAGACGCTAAGAGCGTGAGCCAGCAACTGCCGTTTCACGCGTTTCATAGTAGACATGACAAAGAAAAATAAAAGCGTCGCGACACAGGTATTTCGACGTCACCACCCAGAGATAAGAGACGCCTATCCTAGCGGTGGTGTCATGAATTTGGCACTTCTGATTGTCTTGCGGCGTTGAGGCTGGCCAATTTCTGGCGTCGAGAGGTGTTTTTTCGTTCTTCAGCACCAGACAGAATTAAAAAAAGCTCAACCAACGTGCCAGAAGTAGTGCGAGGCTCAATCAGGTGAGCTTGTACTACCCAAAATGAGGGCGCTACAGTTTGTTCAAAGCTTCAGCGCAGGAGGCCTCTAATGCTGAGCAAGTTGTTATGTCTGCGGTGCAAGGAGTGGCCAGACGAAGGATGGACTGCGAAACAGCTTTATTTCCGCAGAGGCCGGCAGCGATCTGGCTGCGCGTATGACGGTGCTCTTCTTATAGAGCGCCCGGTGACGTCAGTACTACGCGTACTGCTGATAGCAACGGCAGCGGCCTCTAGCACTTCCTCCACCGCAATTTGAAACGTCATGAGGCTTCATAGCGATCGGGGGGTCTTCTCTGGCGTTGTGGGTATCGCCGAGGCGCAGCGTTAGTGGGGGTGACGGGCACCGTTTGTCTTGCGGAGACAGTAGACGGAGGTGGTACGTCGGCTTCAGACGCAGGATAGATGGTGTCGGTATCGTCCTCCCCCACAAGGGACGGCGCTGTCACTGCAGTAGACGCTGAGCGCAGGTGGTCCTTGTGTCGCCTCCAAGTACGGAGTCCATCCGGTGTCCGCACCTTGACCACGTAGGACACTGGTCCCGTCCGCTGCAGTACTGTTGCGTGGAACCATGTGGGGCCGCTCCTGAAATTACGCACGAACACTTCATCGTTCACTTCGAACACACTGTTAGCACCCCTGCGCCGTGAAGTCTGTTCAAACTGACGTGCTCGGATAGTACGATCCAGAGCCGGCTTCAGTGCATCCAACCGTGTTCGTGGCCGACGACCCAAAAAAAGAAAAGATGGGGTTTCTTGAGTCGTCGCATGCGGAGTGTTGCGATATGTCATTAAGAACTTTGACAAGGTTTCCTCCATACTTTCAGTTGCAGGGCCTTTTCGTAGTGCGTTCTTTAGGGTTTGCACAAATCTCTCTGCGAGTCCATTGCTGCTGGGGTGATATGCAGAAGTGAGAACCTGTCGAACTGCCTGTTCTTTAAGGAACTCTTTAAACTCGGACGATGTAAACTGCGCACCGTTGTCACTAACCAGAGCTTCTGGTGCCCCATACCGAGCGAATAAATCGCGCAGTTTTGTTATCGTCGCTTCTGCGGTGGTAGACGTCATGACAAAAACCTCCGGCCATTTAGAATGCGCGTCTACAATGACTAGTAGCATACGACCGCGAAGAGGGCCCGCAAAATCTACATGTACCCGTGACCACGGTTGTGTCGGCCATGACCAAGGGTGCAATGGTGCCTTTTCTGGCATGTGGCGCTGCTGTTGGCATGCCGTGCAGTGTCTCACTTGGTTCTCCAAGTCCGTTTCCAAGGAGGGCCACCATACGTAGCTTCGGGCGAGTGCTTTGCTCCGCACTATTCCTGGGTGTCCCTGGTGTAGCTCCTCCAGGACCAGCTGTTGAAGTTTCGGGGGCACGACGACTCTCATTCCATGCATCAGGCACCGCTCGTGGACTGTGAGTTCCCTGCGTCTGTCAAAATAGGGCTTCAACACTTTATCATCAAGATGTGATGGCCATCCCTTCTTGGTGAAGTCTACGACCAAGCTGAGGACGGGATCACGCTCTGTATGACGCGCGATGTCCCTACTGGTGACTGGTAGAGATGCCAATCGCAGCGTATAAAACGTCTCGTCGTGACTGTCGTCTACTTCTGTGGACTGCAACGGAAGTCGTGAAAAACAGTCCGCGTCCGCGTTCTCTGCGGACGTCCTGTAGGCAAGTTTATACTGGTAGGCTGACAGAGTTACCGCCCACCTCTGCAGTCTTGCGGCGGCTATTGCCGGGATCCCACTCTTTGGCCCAAGGATCGCTTGCAAAGGTTTATGATCAGTAATCAACGTAAACTCCCGACCATAAATGTAGAAGTGGAATTTCTTGACGCCAAAGATTAGGGCGAGCGCCTCCTTTTCAATCTGGCTATAGTTTTCCTCAGCCTTTGATAATGTTCGGGAAGCGTAGGCAATTGGCCTTACCGTGCCATCTTTCATGACGTGCGACAGCACAGCGCCGAGACCATACGCAGACGCATCGCAGGATAGCTGCAGCGGGCGTGCCGGGTCGTAGTGTGCCAGCACCTCCGTCGAAGACAAGATTTCCTTGATGGCTTGGAAGGCATCTTGACATTTCCGATTCCAGCACCAGGGAGCATCCTTCTGTAGTAACCTGTAGAAAGGCTTTGCCAGCGTTGCTAGCCGTGGCGTGAATTTTCCATAGTAATTTATCAGTCCAAGCAGTGAACGCAACTGTGCGATGTTAGTAGGCGCTGGGGCATGCAGCAACGCTTGAACTTTTTCCTCGCTTGGCTTGACGCCGGTCTCGCTGATAATGTGCCCCAGATACTGCAGGCTTTCTTTGAAAAATTCACATTTTTCACGCTTGACGCGAACACCTTTCTGCTGAAGTGTACAAAACACGGCTTCAAGGTTCCTGAGGTGTTCTTCAGCGGTTGCTCCCGTGACGAGAATATCGTCAAGGTAGCATATGACACCCGGTAGTCCTTTAAGTATGTTGTCCATAATGCGCTGGAACAACGCGGGCGCAGACGCTACTCCGAAAGGGAGTCTGTTCACCGCAAAAAGCCCTTTGTGCGTGTTTAGTGTGAGAAGTTTTTTTGAGTCCTCCGACATCTCTACCTGCTGGTATGCCCTGCTAAGATCTAGCTTGGAAAAGTATTTGCCTCCGGCGAGCGCAGCTAGTATTTCCTCAAGTTTGGGCAGGGGGTACTGCTCCGTGTCTAGGACAGGGTTCAACGTTGTTTTGTAATCCCCGCACACACGTATGGTGCCGTCCTTTTTAACTACCGGTACAATAGGCGTAGCAAACTCACTGGTTGACACTTGCGTAATGACGCCCATTTGTTCAAGCTTCTGCAACTCTTCCTCTACGGCCGACCGGAGTGCGTAAGGCACGTTTCTCGCTTTGAGGAACTTCGGACGTTGCTCTTTCAAAAATAAAGTGGCTCGCTCACCTTCTATCTTGCCAAGGGTGCCGTCGAAGATGCGGCTGTACTTGGCTTGAAGTTCTTTTAGGCGTGCCTCGTACTTCTTGCTTGCATCAGACCGATGAGGGTCCGACAGCTTGTGTACGCCGCAGATGTTGTCCCAGTCCAGACGAAGACGTGTGAGCCACTCGCGGCCCAAAAGAGGCGGGCCATTGTGGTCAACTACGTAGAGGGGTAGAACGTCCTCTTGACCCTTGTATCTTACGGACGCTTTGACGAAACCGCAGGGTTGCACGACTTCCCCGGTGTAAGTCTTGAGGCGTAGCTCGGTGGGTTCAAGCTTCAAAGGAGGCTGAAATTTCTTGAACTGCTGCTTCGGTATTATGGACACCGTGGCTCCCGTGTCCAATTCCATGCTCAAGGAAGTTCCTTGAACTTCCACGTCGACGGTGATGGGTCGCCGGCTTTGCGGTGACAGCATCTTGACGTTGAATGTGTCGTCGCTTTGAAGAGTCCGGACCCACTTCTTTCCGCCAACAGTCTTCTTCTTGGCACTCCGACATGCACGCTGAACGTGACCCTTCTTGCCGCAATTCATGCACTTATCTGCAATGTGCGGACACGCCCGGGCGAAACGCTTATCAGAGCCACAGCGATAACACTCGAACGACTGTTTCCTTTTCGCGGAATCTTCGGTACTCATCTTGTGCAAGTCATCGCTCCTTTCTTTTGCGTGCGCCTCCTGAACATTTTTTTTAGCTTCTTCTAACGCGAGTGCGCGTTCAACGGCTTTTTGAAATGTCAACGTTTTATCCTCTGCAAACAAATACCGCTGTATGTCCGCACGGAACAAACCGCACACGAACCGATCTCTCAGCGACTCATCTAGGAAACCGCCAAATTCACAGGTTTGAGAGAGCTTCCTGAGCTCCGCTACATATTGTGCGATACTCTCGTGTTCCAACTGACTACGGCGATGGAATTTCGCTCGTTCTCCAATCACTGATACTCTCGGTGACAGCTGGTTTCGCAGCAATTGGGTTAGTTGCTCTAGCGTGTTTTCTGACGGTTTGGCAGGTGCCGTCAAAGACTTCAAGAGACTGTACGTTTTAGGCCCAATAACGCTTAAAAAAGCATGCACCTTGAGGTCGTCAGGTATTTTGTTGATCAGAAAAAAGGACGTCAACCTTTCTTCATAAGACTGCCAGTCACTCACAGTTTCATCGAAGGCTTCTACTTGGCCGATATGACTGGAGGATGCCATCTTGAGAAACTTGGTGTCGCCGAGTACCCAGCGGCGTGCGGTGATGTTTCGCTGTCTGTTTGGACGCAGCTTCAAGGCTTCTCACCTTCGTCTTGGCTTTGTTGCCCCCATCTTCGTCGCCAGTTGTTATGTCTGCGGTGCAAGGAGTGGCCAGACGAAGGATGGACTGCGAAACAGCTTTATTTCCGCAGAGGCCGGCAGCGATCTGGCTGCGCGTATGACGGTGCTCTTCTTATAGAGCGCCCGGTGACGTCAGTACTACGCGTACTGCTGATAGCAACGGCAGCGGCCTCTAGCACAAGTCGTACTTTTGGATCATGATGATCGGCAGTTGCGTTTGCTCTGAGCAAGACCCAAAATGGCGGCGCCCAAACCAATTTTGGGAAACTGAGTGCCGATACTTTAAAGCTCATTTAGTGACTCTAGGCATAAAGTGAACTCGGGTGTATTCTTTTCCTCTTCGTCTTCATTGTTTATTGATTTCAATCATATCGAATAATGGACACATTATATCACGCTAGGCTTGTGTACTTATTTGTCTTAGATTTATTAGCCTGACCCAGTACTTAAACCATTCAGTTATCGATAGTAAATCTTCCAATATATTTTTAAATGTGAGGATAAAAATACACGGAGATTGATGATGATAGAGACGCCAACGCCACCCTCGGAAATTTTTTGAACATTAGAAGTCAGCAGTTTGTCTGCCATCCGCCAGGTAGCGCAACAAAACACCCAAACAGTTTTTAATTGTTTTTAAAATTAGCTAAGCTCTACACCTATTAAGAAACCAAAGCAATATCATTGTGAAAATTTAATACATCGCAATGTATATCTATTCCAAACAATAAATGTTATTAGACGCCAATAAATCTGTTTGATGTCTAAAAAATATATGCGTCAAAACAGGTAAGTTTGAAACGCTCCTGGAGCGTTATGACTTGGAAAATGAAAAAAAGCCATCGTCCACCTCTTGGGCAACCATTGTAGCTCTAAATATTATAAAAGATTTTATCATAGTTCAATTATTTCCTCAGCGGCATTTGAAGTACCATGACTCGAAGCATAAAAAAGTGCTACGTTTGATATAAAATATCTAAACAAAGAAATTTTACACAACATTAAATTTTTTTCTGGGTAATACCAATTATAAGAACTACATATGTAGCTAATTTCATTGCCCTAGCGCGTGTCATTAAAAACATATTTGTGCTGAAAAATGTCAATTTTAGGGCAATATTTGGAGGGATGAAAAAAACAAAGTAGTGCAAATACCAACAAAGTGTATCGTTACATTCTGCTCCGACATCATCTTAACAAAACTGCTATATTGGAACCGTGTTATCTTTAATGGATCGTTCATAAAACATGAACTAGCGGAGCAAGTGAGGGTCCGCGCCATCATATTCGCAACGCTACAAATGCGCATGAGCAGTAATAACCAACACATACATAATATCAAATGAAAGAGGATTGCATTGCCTCTCGAATGACATCAATGCCACAAAACAGTATTCAAAAGGAGATGAGTAATGACCTGCCAAAAAGTACCTAAACTTCCACACTCAGTGGGACCGTGGCCTTAATGACGACTAAAATAAGGTCACGAAATATTGTGTTTCACGGGGTCCGGAAGATGTTGTAAAGGTTGTTACATTATAGGGGGATTCCCAGAAAACAAACGCCGTTGCGATATTTTCGGAAGTACCGACACACATAATGTTCTAAGTCCAGCTTTGGAGGAGTATGATGAAAACCATCAGAATAAATAGGAAGACGTTTATTTGCAATGATGACGCTATGAATGAACGGCGTTTAGCGACGGCAAGTTATGAGCGTTCGGGAATTTATAAGTTCACGTGATTGCTAACTATGGACATGCGTTTTTGTCGGGAGATGGTGTTGCGGTGATGACCTGATATCGGACGACTCGTGGCAGACGAACAAGCAAGTTTCTTCTCAGCGAATGGCAAGTGTCCAACGTCAAGCACAACACGTGGCTACCGACGTTGTCGACGTTTCGAACACTTATCGCTTTCGACAAACGTGCTGGTACCTAGGCTAACTTTCTAGAAAGACTCGAAGTCTTCCTTGAGTCCAACGCCATCATGAACAGTAACTGAAAACGATACACTATTCAATCGGTAGGTGGCGAAACGTATCCGCATCTGCGGAGACATGGGCGATGCGTATAAGTGGCTGGAAGTTTACACGATACCTGCCACGACGTCCAAACACGCCATTGACGTTCTACGGTCTCTTTCACCTACTTTTGCCCTACCGAAAATACTTTTCTCTGATAACGCGCCAAATCTTGCTTCATATAAAATAAACAAGTTTTTGAAGAAAAAAAAACCGGCATCAGGCATCACATTAGTGCACCATACCATCCTGCAACTAACGGGCATGCAGAACAGATGGTGTGCGAAAAAAAAAAAATCCCCTTTGAAGCTTACGGAAGAAGCGGTTCAGTAAAGAATCGCCAGGTTGTTGTTCCAGCAGCACGCCGACGGTCTCATCTTACACGGTAAAAACACCCGCCGAAGCAATATTCGGCGGACGAAGAGCCACACCCCTCGATCTCATGATACTATGGCTTACGAACGAAGATCGAGAGATTCTAAGGTCGGGAGTAATTGCAGCTTATCCGGTCGGACAACTCGTCTACGTAAGGAATTTCAGCGGAAGTTGGGCCTTCCATGTAAAACTTGAGTAGAAAAGGCTCTATGTTGGTTGACCAGAAGGTGTCATCTCTCTGAATACGTTGGATATCAATGCCCCTGAGTGTAAATATAACTAAATCACAAAACTCTCTTTGTTTATTGTGTAACTGCCCTTGTATTTGATAGTAGAAGCTATGGTGGTGATTTGGACCTTTCACACCAGGCTCCTTTTTCTTATTTTTAGCCTCATACTCCTTCGCGGTTTCAGTATGCTTCAAGAATCTTTTGGAACGGGGATACTTTACGTCAACGAGGTCATTTGTTTTAAGTGGTCAATCAGGGAAGGCTGCTGGAAATCCGTCCCTCCTATTAACGAATAAGCCGCACTTCTGCACAGTGCAGTTTTCCTGTTCCACGTACAGTTGTAAAGCAGCATCCTCATTGATTCTACCATATACTGTTGCGGGTGAAGAAAGTCTTTGGGTACACGATACTTGAAACAAGTCTGGCACTGTACGTTGTGGTTCGACACTCACTAATGTCGTCGTCCTTTTAGAGCCTCATCATTTAATCATTACCTCGTCACCTTATACTGCTCTTCATCAACAGCAAGTACAATAGGCTACGGCCATATTACAATCCAAGAATTAAAAAATTGAGTCGTTGAGTCCTTCAACAAGTTTATTATTTATATAATCTTATTACGTTACATTACCTCGAGACGATCGACGTCCATCGTCGATCTGCAAATACTTATACCTGTATATAAATTAGACGCAGAAAGGGGGTGGAGGGGGGGGGGGGGGGGGGGGGGGGGTCGGTGGCCGAGTGCATGATCTAGCGCACACCAGCTCGGAGCACTTGGAGCGAAAGCTCGCGCAGCAGAAGCCACCCCGCCCCTGCCCGTTTCGATCTGAAAGAGCATCGTACCGGCGTAAAATCGTGTATCACTACTGCGTGGTGCACGTTAAAGACCCCAGGTTTGCGGTTGTACCGCAAAGGCTAAATTGCTCATCTACAGCTGAGAGTCAGACGCCCACTAAGGCGGACTAACTTCCGGCTGTATAAACATACACACAACAATTTGCAATTAGACGCATAATAACAAAGAGCACAGCGTGCCGCCTCTTTTCTTTGGATATCTTTTTTAAACCAGCGCAAGCTCGCGCGTTCTCTCTTTTGAGACGGTTAGAACGGTCGCACATAAAACCCGCATTTCTCCTACCCGGTCGCTTCCTCCTCTTATTATGTGTAGTTGGTTATAACTAAATAAGCTATAATAATGGTGTATTATTCATATTTATTTTCAGTTTCAGTCAGGGAAAATGAGTTTCGCGGGAACTAGAGCAAATAAATTAGCTGCGCTTAGAGTATCGGCACTCTCTTCCCCGACAGTGTTGTCAACGCCGCCATTCTGGTGCTTGTGCAGAGCAGCCGCAACTGCCCATCGTCATGATTCAAAAGTGCGACATCCTCAGCATTAGATTCGCTGTTAGGAAGCTCATGTAATGTTGCTTTGCTTTGTCGCACACCGTTTAAAGGGATACCACAACGAAATTTCGGCGCTCATTTTTTGGTCTATATGTGTTCAAAAGAGCAGTATCACATAGAACATACCAATATCTTGTGAAAAAAGTCTCGAAAAGGAATTTTAAAACGAATTAAACGATTAGCAAAGAGCACCTGGTGGATGTCGCTAACGCCTCGTTTGTAATGCTCGTCTAGGAACCTTGACAGCCAGTGACGGAGGTTGTCTCGTCTCCGGCCACGATGAGAGAAGGGGGGAAGGAGGAACTCCCCTCTTCCCGAGAATCCCTTTTGTGTGTCTCAGAAGTCGCTATTGTCCCCCTAGAAGATTATAGAAGATTAACCCGTCACTCAAACTTCGTACAAAAGCAGCAGCTTCGGTGGCTGGAACGACTAGGCCATCCTCTCGACGTCAGCTTCGCCGTAGCTTTGCTCGTGTTGAGACGACCTACGTCACGATTGCGTTGGATGTCACGTGCTCTAAGCTGGGCCTTCTCCGAGCGCTTGCCAGAGTGGGCCGTTTATAACGAAAAATACAGCCACCAGGATCAAAATACAAACGTGCGATTGTCATTTACGGATATTGTGGATCATATTCAACCTATTTTTGAACACGACGGGAATATTTCAAATTTCGTTGAAGTATCCCTTTAAAGTGGAGGACGGAAAAGCGTTTTTCGTGATTTCAGATAAAGCTTCAAATAACTGGCAACCATGATTTTAAGTCACAATATGGCCAAGTGTCGCTACTTTGACGCGTAGCTTATTTAATTACACTGTTCATACTAAGAGGCTTGTAATATCTGGAGGGGCCATGACGTAAGCCCCGTGGATTCCACAAGCCACTACCTTTTCACACCTGCCTCTTCCTCATTGTTCCCGCTTGTGCCAGTAAATTAGCTACGGTTCAGAGTAACGACACTTGGCCATATTGTGGCTTAAAATCATGGTTGCCAGTTACCTGAAGCTTTATCTAAAATCACAGGAAACGCTTTTCCGTCCACCACAAATGTTTAAACAACCCGCGACAGAGCCGCAATATTGCA